AGGATCAGAACCTAGTCGAATTTTTTGACTGCAAAATATCATAAGGCACCCCCGCTACCCCCTCAAGAAGTTGCGACGAATTCGAAGTAGGGCAAAAGAGTGATGGGGGATGGAAACGTCGAATTTATACTTTATTGTGGTAAAAAATTAATTTAGGCTCTAAGAGTCGGAACATCCGTAAATTTTATTACTAAAAAATATCCTTCATCCCCCAAAAAAGTTTTGACTTATTCGGAGTACGGCAAAAAGTTATCTCGAAAAATCTAAAAATGGGGGGTTTCCTCCCCCCATCACCCTTTTGCCCTACTCCGAATGAGTTGAATCTTTTTTGGGGGTTGAGGGCGTGCCCCAGAACATTCTTCTATTTAAAAATATAGGTAGGTTGTAACCCCTGCAATAAAGATATTTTTGTTCTCTAAAAATGTACAAATTTGGTGCTTTCACCTCCGATCATCCCTTTGCCCTACTCCAAATGAGTCGAATCTTTTTCAGGGGGTTGAGGGTATGCCTCGGAACATTTTTTAGTTGAAAAATATTGGTACGTTACTGTAAAGTAGTATCGGGATGACTTAATATTATAATACTTAGACAGAGAACTGATTTATTCGGTGTTACTCAAAGAGCTCCAGAATGAGACTGGTGTACAAGATATTTTACTCGTATATCCTACCGCAAGTGTGTACACTTATATTCAAAACTATTGAAGAATTCCAATACCTTACAGGCCTCCCTGTTTACTTCAGAAATAACACAATTTATCATAGTATTGGGTTGGGGAAAAAGTAATTTCGGTTTTTCTCATGTTTTTCAAAGTGAATTTGTTAATATAAATTTTAAACACTAATCAGTGATATATGTGCCATTCTGATCGATGATCTTTTGCCACTTTCCTGGTAAAACCATAATTCCGTAACTGTAGAACTTCTGAGGGTTTTGGGCGAAAAACTGAACCAAGTGATTTTCACAAGCCCCTTTTGAACCCAGCTTTACACCATTAAGAGAGTTTTGCAGAGACCGGAACAAATGATAGTCCGACGGGGCAAGATCAAGGCTATACGATGGATGCATCACAACTTCCCAGCCAAACTCTCTCACTTTTTGACGAGTCACTAAAGATATGTGCGGTCTAACATTGTCGTGGTGGAAGACGACGCCTTTCCTATTGATCAATTCTGGCCGTTTTTTTCAATCGCCTGCTTCAGTCGCATTAGTTGTTGACAGTAGTAGACAGTCGAATTACTGGCTTGGCCAGGTTCGAGTAGCTCATGATGAACAATACCCTTCCAACCCCACCAAACACTCGGCATCACCTTCCTTGGCGTCAATACGGGCTTCGCAACTGTTTGTGAAGCTTCTGCGGGCTTTAACCACGATCTCTTTCGCACATTATTCTCATACGTGATCCACTTTTCATCGCCCGTAATCATGTATTTCAAAAATGGCTCGATTTCGTTTCGTTTCAGCAGGGATTCACAAATGGAAACTCGGTCCATTAAATTTTTCGACGTTAATTCATGTGGAACCTAAGTATTGAGCTTCTTTTGGTATCCAGTCTTATGTAAATGGTTCAAAACTGTTTTATGGTCGACGTTTAGTTTCGTAGCAATGTCGCGAGATGAAATATGTCGGTCTACCTCGATTTCATTTAGAATTTCATCGACTTTTTCAACGGTTGGCCGACCAGGGCGATCTTTAAGATCGAAGTTTCCGGAACGAAATCGAGCAAACCAATTCTGACACTGGCGTTCACTTAAGCACTCATCACTATAAACACTACACAATTTTCGATGAACCTGCGCTGCAGTTTTTCCTTTTCGTAAGTAAAAAAGTAAAATGTGACAAAAGTGGCTTTCTGGAATCTCCATTGTCAAAGCGCAATAATTTTTGAATGATTAAACGAATGACGCTACTTTGTACTCTAGGATGATTTGTAGACTGTAAACTTCTAAACATGCTATAGTATGGTTGCATTGAATAAGCATTACTAGAGATATACAACTTTAATGCCATCTATTAGGAAGAACCGAAATTACTTTTTCCCCAACCCAATATTAGTCTATTTACCGGTTTGTTGATACGTTTAGATCTTTTGAGCACATTACAACCATTTGTCTTCTTTTTATTCTTAACCTCATAGAACTCATTATCGATCACTACAGATTTCTCTTCATTTACAAGAGTTTCGTCAGTGAGAGGCTTATTAATGTTTGCGTTAGGGATCTGAACTAATTCTGATGTTTTTTCTGTTAGATCTTGCTTTGATTCAATGACCTCAGCCTGAATTACATTATCAGTTTCTTGACTCAATCTAATAGACTAGGTTTTAGAAAACTCTTGTCTTCCTTTAATTTCTGAATCAACTTTTGAATCGATCTTAGCGTATCCTGTTTCATTCAAATGTTTGTACTTATGATCATACAATGTCCCGATTTTCAATAACTGATTTATGTGTCTTTTCCAAAAAATTTCTTTATTTTCTTCAGAAAAACATAAATAAGTGTACTGACCAATTTTCCCATTAATTATAGCACGGTTCCAAGTACGTTTCGCAGGATTTTTATAACTACGAACATAAACAAACGTTTACCATCCAATAGCTGGTCTCTCAATTTAGAAGCTACAATGAATCTATAGCCCCACATAATAATTTCGTGATCTAAATAAATTTCATTTGATCTATCTAAGAAAGGTTTCAACTCTGGTTCGGAGACCTTTGGCCAACCGTCCCATAAATATCTCACAATTTTTCCTAAAATTATATCTCGTTGAGTTTCCTTTCGCAATTGATCTGATGATACAGGTAATTTATCTTTAACTAAAAAATTTAAATTGTGACGTATTGGGATCGAACAGTGCAAGTGCAGAGTGTAGTAGTAAAAAGGAAAAAATATTCACTGAGTTTTATCTCCGGGTAAAACTCAAAACGTCACATTGGCGCCCAACTAGTTTGGCACTCATTCGGGGAATCGAGTGCAAGCATAAGGAAATTTTTTTACGTGATGTTATACCAGAGCTGAAGGGAAATAGTGAAGAACTTAGTGGTATACGCGTGGATTGAAAAGAGCAGACGGTCAAAGAACAGACGACACAATCCAGTCTCTGGTTTCAACCTCATTGGATACGGTTGAGTGTCGAACACTTCACATTTGTGAAAGAGAAAGAGAGAGAGAGAGAGAGAGAGAGAGAGAGAGAGATTGATTGATTGATTGATTGATTGAGTTTATTGCTGTACATTATATTGTACAAAATTATGGTGGCAAAACCACATAAGCTGGTATACAGTAAATCACAGTGAATATCATGAAGTAAACAATATATGCTAATTATAATAGATACATAAAAAGCAGAGTAAGATGAGAAGGAGCAATATGCACCAGAAAGAGCAAGCTTCGGCGGGTCCTAAACAAACGGGAGAATAGCAAGTGCGAAATGGTAACGATGAAAGAGGGAAGAGTGTAAGAATAAGTACGGATAGGAAAACAGGGACAGCAGGGGAAAGGAAAGTGATAAGAGGAGAGCAAAGGGTAGGAAAAGCATTAAGAGTTGTCCCTCAGATAATTCCGCACAGCTAATCGGAAAGACGACAGTGTGGGAAGGTCCCGCACTGCAGAGGGAATTGAGTTCCATAAATAAGCCGCAGACACGTGGAAGGAGGATCGCATGGCTTCAGTCCTGAAAGGCTTGATCATAAGGGGAGTCATATCACCCCTCACTGGCCGCACGGCCCGACTGGCCACAAAAAACGTATCAAACGAAATTGCAGAGCCATCAACGTTGACAGACAAACCGGGCAAGGAATAGACATCGTTAACGAAGACATTAGAGCCAAAAATGATGGCTTTCGTCTTCGCCACATTCAGCTGCAGCCGATTTGCATTAGCCCAGTCTGTCACACGGTTAGCAGCATTGCTCATGCGGCGAATGGCATCCTCTAACTCCTCACGTAGAAGGGTCAGGTAAATCTGGAGATCATCAGCATATATCAGATGCCGAACTCCTGGCCCTAAGTTTACACCAACATCATTAATGAATAGGAGGAATAGCAGAGGACCTAGAACAGATCCCTGCGGAACTCCCCCATTCAGCTGATAGAAGGATGAACAGCCACTCGCCCCGCCTAGTGTAGCCTGCGAACGACCACCCAGATATGATGCAAGCCACCTCAGTGAAGAAGCTGAGAAGCCATAGCCTAAGGCCGAATCTATAATCGATGTACGTCTTCTGTTTGCGTCGTGTTGCAATAAATATAGATACATTAATTATCTTAGCGACGTGACGCAAATGAATGACGCGCGCTTATTGTAGACTCTTCTTAACAGCTTCCGCAGCAGCAACACGTGACAAACGCAATCGAACGCCTTGCTGAAATCGAATAACAGCAGCATCGTCAGCTGCCGTCTATCAATACCCGTCCTAATGTCGTCTGTCAGTTTCAATAGCGCCGTCTGCGCTCTGATGAAACTGCGCCGTCTGCGTCCCATTGAATGGACGAAAACCCGTCTGCAGGGAGTCCAGAATGAAGCGCTCAGCAAGGAAGCCGGAGATTTGCTGGGAAGCAAGTTTCTCCAGCACTTTGGAGAGGAAACAGAGCAAGGCAATCGGCCTGAAGTCATTAGGTGACACAGGGTTTTTCACCTTGCCAAGCGCAACAATAAGGGACCTCCTCCATTCAGAGGGAAAGCAGGACCGAGCGAAAGAGATGTTAAAGAGCATCACTAGATAAGGTGTTAGAATCGGCAGGGCAGCCACAACCACCGACCTGGGAACCCCATCAGTCCCTTTAGCTTCGGTAGAGAAGTGCCGAACAGCCTTCTGTACCTCATCAGCAGTGACTGGCCTGAAGGAGAAACCCACGGCTCCGTCTTGTCAAAGGACACTCCAGCAAAGCAACGATTCAAGACATCAGGATCGAAATCGGGTGTTGAGTCATTCCCAGCCACCACACCAAGCCTTCTGAGCTCCTTCCAGATAAGCGAAGGGTCAGAGAGAGGCTCCAGCCTTCACTGGAAGAAAAGTTGACGTGCCGCCTCAACCTCACGATGAGAACGATCACGAGCCGTGCGATAGGTCAAGAGTGCCTGACAAGAGTAAGTACGTTTGTACACACGGTACAGGCGATCTCTCTTCGCTACAAGAGCAACGATCCCATCAGTAAACCACGGTTTGCGCTTCGAGGACTTCCTCACCGTCTTGAGCGGGACAGCACCGTCCATGGCGACTCCAAGATTACCGCCCAGGCATGCAGTCATTTCGTCTGGAGACGACAGGCCATCGAACACTGACCAGTCGCTCGCGGCAAGCTGCGACAATAGCACATCAAGATCCAGAGCAGCAAAATCCCTGTAAGTGAAGTCCCTACTCACAGATGGGCGAGGAAGGACAGCCTGTATTGTTGCAGTGATAAGATCGTGACCGTCCACAAAGGGGGCCTCTGTCTTCCAGTAGGATAGAAGCGTGTCATCATGATCAATCAGGCACAGCTCAAGCCAGGAGTCTGAGCCATGAGTATGATGAGTGGCACCGTGCGGCACAAGGCTCAGAGAGAAATCGGAGCAAAGCGAACGCACCAGAGCCGCATCAGGGTTACTCATGGACAGCTGATCGGCATTGAAATCCCCAAGGATGACCTTGGAGCTATAATCCTGAAGAAACCCCTGCAGAGAGCATGTGGCGGCCTATATACGACTGCAACAAAGACTGGGAAGACCATGACAGGAGATTTCACAGAACAGATACTCGGGGAAACCAGGTCTTTTAGTCCACACATGAGAGGAGGATGCGAGAACTGTCACCTTGAAGCAGTTATTGATGAACAAAGCTACCCCGCCACCACGCGTATTGCGATCACGCCTGAAGAGCCTATAGCCTTCCAGCGAAACGACATCGTCATCAATAAGAGGGCAAAGCTTAGTCTCTGACATGGCGATAACATGAAATGGAGGACGAGATTCCAAGAAAAGCCTGACTCTCTCAATGTGAGCTCTGAGAGAGTTCACATTAAGATGACAGACACGCAAACCCTACAATTCCAACATGGCTGCCGCCTAACTGTGCTCAAGGTAGGAATGAGTTTGCGAAGGCGGAGCGGGAGACTGAGAAAAAGAAGAGAGAGGAAGAGAAAGATTGGAGACAGGAGATATACCAGAAGCAGAAGAGTTTATTGAGGGCCCGCCATGAAGTTTTTTAATTCAGCCATCGATGAGATTCTGGTTGCAGCATCCTCCTTCTTTTCCTTTATAAACACAGCTCCATTTCGAATGAAGCTATGAAAGCCTCTCTCCTTGGCAGCAGTCCTCACAGCGCGTCTAAGATTATGGAGATCTTGCGGGAGGAAATCGTTGATGTTGATGAGTGATGGCTGCAGGGGAAGTGTCGCTCTAGAGGCAGACACAAGCTCAGCTGACAACTGAGACGAATGCAGCTTGCCATGCCTTGCCTTCGCAATCACTAACTCACGAACGAGTTCACCAGACGAGACTGACACCAAGAGTGATGAGGACGTGGCGACACCATCAGCTGCCGTGCTCGAAGGTACGGCAGAAGCTACAGCTCTATCATCATCGGCATCCACAGCTGGAGGCTGCCTCACCCGAAAAGGACGCACGCTGCGAATGTCATCCAACTGAATACAGGAAGACACGGCACGAAAGATAGCGAACGACAGTTTTCTCATGTCACAATTCGCAGGCGGATCAAGGCCTGAGATGGGCATGTCCGACACAAGCCTCATCCTGTCCGCGTTGATCTTCGCTAGAGAGTCAGCCAGTTCCTTCACCGTCTCCTCAACGGAGCTCGCCCTGCCCACGACGGCTCCCGACGCTTCAGCTGACACACCAGCAGACACCGAGACAGAGTTGGCTGTATCCTCCTTCATCTGCCGCTGCTCCTCTTCAACCAAGTTGACTCGATCCCTCAGTGCCCCGACATCAGTCTCTACAGATTGCTTTAGGCTCCTGATCTCCTCACACTGCTCAGCCACAACAGCCTCAACGTCATCAATACGCTTGACCAGGGCTGGGAGCTGGTCCAGAGCTGACAAATAAGCCTTGTCGTACTCTCTCTCTCTCTCTCTCTCTCTGTGAGTACATTAAATGCACGTTTTGTTTGATCTCGGTTTGAAATTCTTACTGCCTATTTCTGCCCCCTGGGCGTTTCTGTTGCAGCTTAGTTGCATGCGCTACTTTGCAACCGACATTTGGAGATATAAACCCCTTTTGCTGGTTGCGCTTCTATGTTTTTATTGCCTCTAAAAAATCGCTTGAAGACACCTTAACCTGCAAATTTCTTGGTGTCATCGTTTGGCTGTCTCTCTCACCTTCACTCCTGCTGACGCCACTGGTGAGTGAAAAATCAACTATTGACCAGTGCGAACCAGGTGTGACCAGTTACCTACGCACCCTGCGCGTACCATTATCTGTGCACACTGGCATCTACTTCACCGACTCCCGTCTAGTTACTGTCACTAGCTCGCACTCTCTAACTAGACATTCTCCATTTTTACGGCCGACGAAATGGCCGAGAGAGAGAGAGAGAGAGAGAGAGAGAGAGAGAGAGAGAGAGAGAGAGAGAGAGAGAGAGAGAGAGAGAGAGAGAGAGAGAGAGAGA